ATTGACTTTGTATGTATCCTCGTTGTCCAGAAAATGCCCCTCCCAAACTTGTCTTCCAAATGCTGTTATACTACAACTCTTATCTTCTTCAGGCCACTGTTTAGACGTACTCAGATTTGTAGTCCAATGATGTTGTTGATCTGCCTCCAACATCTGCTAGGATGCTTCCCCTTCCAAGCCTCTGTACTACTTAGAAACCCATTCCAGAGTGTTTCCTAACCCTCCAGAGCTGGTTTTTGGATACATGGCACAGCTGCAGAAGGGAAACCATCTTGAGGTTCCACTGGCAAAAACAGTTCTGTGAGCAGAATCACCCTAGTGCACATGGCTATGGAGTGAAATCAGTTACATAAAGTACTAACATTGGCATTTATGTTATTCACAGTGTGTAGTTTTTGCTGGTCCAAATATGCCCCGAATCTTGCTTAACTGGCATGAGAATGGAAAGTGGAGTTAAAGCTGTCACCTGGTAGGGAAATCTTATAAAAGTTAGTATGGGAGGCATCAATGAAAGAACTATGTCTGTATTGGAAGCTGCCTAGAGTGGTGTGGTAGTCCAGATAGGTGGGGTATAAATCAAATAAATAAATAAATAAATAAATAAATAACTAAATAAATAAATAAATAAATAACTAAATGAATAAATAAATAAATAAATAAATAAATAAATAAATAAATAAATAAATAATGCCATTTCTGATTAAAAGCTCCAACTGATCTTGTCCGATCACATTTTCATCCTGGCATTTGAAATCTCATGACTTGAGCAAGAGGTTTTGACATTAAAACATATGTTTCCATACCATGCCATAAGTTTTAGTGCTCTTCTTCTGAGTAATGTAACCTCTTCCAAAACAGAAAAGAAAGATGGCCTCACAGGGTCTGTATACATTTGTCTTGGCATCATAATTTGGCATTATAAAGACATGACATGGCCTCTGCAGACACAATGTGACACAACTCCATTTATTCTTGACATGGTAAATGTGACTGGAATTCATGCTTAACAGTACTGCAGAGCTTGAAGTAAATGAGGAATTAAGTGTCATGGAAGAAAGGGAGGAAAATCACTATTAGTCATTCTATATGCTTAGTAAATACTTCTGAAGAGAAAGCCATCCTCTCCCTGATATAAACCACAAGAATATGGAAAATACTCTTTTCTATGGATTTATGCTAGTGGTTTTCCAAACATATTCCATTGAACTCTTGGGTTTCCCTTTTAAATGACCAGTAATGACTATTGATTCACTACTATTGATACTCAGATATATTGCAGAACTTCAGGCAAGCACTAGGTATGTTCCAGGAAGCACTCTCAATTCATAAGTGATCCGATGGAGCCCAGTAACTGGAGGAATCTGCATCTACTACTACTTAACAACAGCAGAAACAGAGATGCCCCTCAGGTTAAAATTCCTCTAGCTGTGCAACGGAAGGGCATGGACTCAAAGAGCAAAATAGCATCAAGTTCCCCAGATCAATTCCCCCCTATTATTTATTAACTGACACTTACAGTCTCAATAACGTATTCTGACATTAGCTGCAGAAAGAATATGAATGTTTCATTTTCTTTTCTTACAGTTCTAAACAGATCAAACCGCAGACTGAGAACATGACTGACTGCTTTCAGCAACAGGCCTCAACAGATAATAAAGAGAGAAAAAGACAAAGAGTAGAGAGACAGGGCTCTCTTTGAATTCAGAGGCAAGGAAGGAGCAACTGATTACTGCTGGATAAACTGACAGTCACCCAAGCTCAGAAAGGTCCCTCACAGCCAAACCTTTTGAGGCAGCATACAATCTTGCAAACAAAACAAAACAAAACAAGGCAAAACAGCGGAAACTCTTCAACATTTAATCTATTATTTAAAATCAGGATTCAAACAGTTTTTTTAAAAAATAATTTTAATATGTTATGAATCACTTTGGGAGCCTTGACGGGCAGAAAAGCAGTGGACAAATATTTTAAACGAATACTTGTGTGCCACTCCACATTATGCTACCAAAATGAAGAAAGCTTAGGGTAATTAGGAGTGGAAGAATTAATGAGCTTATCATGGTTTCCCAGCTGCATCTGAGGGCATGACTTTCTCAGGGCCAACCTGCAATGCCAGACAGCTCTCCTTATTCTTCATGGGATATCAGCCATAACCGATGATGATTCACAGCTGTTGGGTGGCTGCTCCCATGCCAGCCTTCAGAGGTAGCCTTCATATGTCAAAGCCTCCACACTGCACAAAGAATTTAGCCATTGCTAGAGAGAGATAAGCTATAACTATAATACTATAGCAGTCGTTGGCACTTTGTAAGTTAAAATCTATCTCCATCTACTACCATTTCCCAACCCTAAACTGGAGAATCGCTACTTGAGAATTTCTTGCTAATAAAATGAAGGTCATGGTTCTAATTCTCTGAAAGGCAAATTTGAACTTTATTTATTTTTTAAACTATAAATGACAGATCCGGAAATCATTACTGGGCCACCAAAATATCAAAAATGGGAACATTTGGTTCCTGCAAATTCCTTGCAACATCCCACTTATTGAAGAGTCCTACAGGTCTCGAAAGCTTGCTGGTTTTTCATATTTTACTAGGACAGCAAAGCTTTTACACACCCCTGCTTTTGGATTTTGCACAAAAGCCGTATAGCATTTCCTCCCTCTGCCTCCACCTTCTCCTCTTTTAAAAATTCTGGATTTTTACAATTTTGAGACAAAGCCACTCTCTGGGACCGTATAAAGAATGTACAAGATGTTGGTTGCCAAGAAGGTGTCCCTACTCATTATAAAAAGCAAAGTGTGCTGCTTATATACCGCCCCATAGCGCTTCAAGCACTCTCTGGGTGGTTTACAAGTTAATTATGGAGGCTACACCCCCCCCCAGGGAGCTGGGTACTCACTTTACCGACCTCAGAAGGATAGAAGGCTGAGTCAACCTTGAGCCACCTACCTGGGATTGAACCCCAGGTTGTGAGCACAGTTTTGGCTGCAGTACAGCAGTTTAACCACTGCACCACAAGGCTCTTATAGATTCAAACTACCCTTGTGTTGCCCACTCTGCACAATCAACCACCCACCACTTTACACACATATGCTAATGGCACTGCTGCATCACTAGAGACAATCATCAGTATTTACCTCTGTTAATGGTACCTTCCGCAATTCCTTGACCATGCTGGTTTTATTTAAAACAATGTAAAACCCATGGCCATAGGTTTATTCAGTTTGATGGCATGTAAAATGAACCACCTTAACAAAGTCTCCAGCTAAGCCAGCTCGGACATGAGTATAATATCTTGTTTGACTGTTATATATAACTTACTAAACCTAATTAAAAATAACGAGAATTTAATTTGAACAAAACCAAGGAGATTTATTTTGGAATGACAACTAGGTAGGGAGAAGAAAAAAAATTAAGAATCTGAGTATAAAACAAGAGGAAATGTAAGTCTCAACTATATCCTTCTTCATTCCATGCATGCACCAGACTAGACAAACCACCTCCAACAACACAAAACCCACAATGCTTCAGAACCAACTCTCCAAACCAATTGGCTCTTCTCTCATATCTCCCTATTGATTCCCACCAACCAATCAGCACCCAGCATGAACATTGCAATACAGATCCACCAAACACTCCGACACTCTTTCCATGCCCCAACATGCCTACATCCGTGTAAGCAACAATGTACCAACACCACAAATTGCATGTTGGAATTGCTACAATTGTCAGTTCAATTAAGTGCCCCTAATGTGAAAGAAAGAAAGAAAGAAAGAAAGAAAGAAAGAAAGAAAGAAAGAAAGAAAGAAAGAAAGAAAGAAAGAAAGAAAAAGAATTTTTCACCCCCAAGTGTGACTTTGTAAGACACATATTCATATGAATATTAGACAGGGAGCATTTGATTGCAAAGTATTTTGTCTGTTTTTAACTTTGACTGCTAAAGCGTTTACATCAACAAAGCTGTCATTATGTCTAAGAAAGTATTTATATTATCCTGTCTTATTTACTGTGCAACAAGGCAAAAAACAAAAAAAAGTAATTTGGCTAAAGACAACAGAGATATTGCCACTATAATGGATGCAAGTGACATGGTTGTTAGGCTGTCTGCAAAAATTAGAATAAGTAAAAGGCATGACAGGGAAATGAATATTCATCGGGAACAATTCTTGATTCCTTTTTCCCCCCTTCAGATGGAGAAGCTTCACAGAGCACAGAGAAGATCTAGGGAGCGTCAATTTGAAAGCAAAGCAATAAATATGATGTCATTTGCCTGTACATCCCTCAAAGCAACTTCAGCCTCATAAATTTATATACCAGAGGTGTTGGGAATATGGGGAGAAGACAATAATGAAAATGGCAGCATAAATGATGCTTTACATTGAACTCTTTGTGTTCTTTAAAAGTACAGACAATACTGAAAATTAAGCCATGCAATGCTTTTGTCTTTCTTGAACAGGCTCTGCCATTAGGTATAGTGAATTGTTCAGATAATTGGATGGGCACTGGGTGCCTTTTCAAGTTGTCAGTCATGGTTGACTGATTCTTAAATCAAAACTCAAAAAAATTATTATAAGAGTTGCAAGAGATTCTGATTTTATAACTGGTTTAGATTATGTTGTTTCTTATTTTGAAAATAACAGAATAGACCTAGACCAGCGGTTCTCAAATTGGGCTCCCCAGATGTTCTTGGACTGCAATTCCTGGAAGCCTTTACCACTTGCTGTGCTGGCCAGGATTTATGGGAGTTGCAGTCCAAGAACATCTGGTGACCCCAATTTGAGAACCATTGACCTAGACTACATGTACATAGAGGTCATTAAAATTAATAAGACATCCCAAATAATGCTAAGTGCAACTGACTGAATATGATCTTGTAATGTTTATGGGCACCATATGGCTGGATTGGGTTATCTATGTTATTCCTTCTCCAAGTGTGGGGTAACTGTGGGTCAAAGTGAAGGTCCAATTCCTTAATTCACTCCTTTTAATGACAGGAGACAGGCAGAAACACGGTCATCAGACAATCATGGAAGGACAACCCAGAACAGGAAGTTCTGAGGAATTTTGTGAAGAGGAAACAAGTAATGGGCAAGAATCAACCACCTCTGGTAGGATATTGTCAGGTGGGCAATTAAGTTCCTCTTGTGTACTTGCTGCCTCTGGCTGCAAGAGGTCATCTTCTTCCTCTGAAGATGATTCAGCAAGGTGAAGCATGCCAGGTCTTCCCTAATATACTTTCTGCAGAAGCATGTATAAAAATGAGTTGTCATATTTTATTTTTATTAATAATAATATCATTTATTTGTTAAGTGAGAAGGATTGTATCACCCAATATGAGCCTTTCCATCTTTTAAAATCTTCTGGGGAGGCCCTACTCTCCATGACCAATATATGTACAATTTTAAAACTTTTTAAAAAATAGTTTTATCTGTTGTGACCACCTTTGGTCCCCACCTTGGAAGGCCATGTTCAGGTAGCAACCATGTTCCTCCTTCATCTCTTCATCCCTAAAATATTATTAATTCTAATGAGGGATCATCTCTAATATATCATTCAGCCCTCCATGTCAATGCTGTTTGATTGCCAAAGATATTAAGGCTAGAGATGTGCAGAGACCCCCACAATCCCATCCATGCCCAAATAAAAGGCATACAGATTGGGGCTGGTGTGCCTTTTCGGTGACCCTCTGATCCAACTGTTGTCTGAAATTGTTTTTCCATGCAAAAACAATTTTTTCCATCTTTTAAAAGAAAGACAAGACAAAACAAAAACAATACCATTTCAGTGAATGGAAAAATGCAAATAGCTATGACCTGGCATGGGGGAAGGGAACGGGCAGGCAGATTCCACATACTGGATGTAGTGGCCTAAACTGCAAACCTTCTCATGCCCTTGCCCCTTAAAAGCTGGGTGCTCTTTCTCTAGTTCCCATCTTTCCACAAATCCCATGCTAGGAAAACAGCTGTCAAGTCCATTTTCTTCTTATCCCTGATAGCCAGGCAATCTTCTGGCTTCCAACCTTTCATGGATTCTCCTCTCCCCCCCTCCACCCCAAAGTGTATGACTTGCATTCATTACTACATCCTTTGTGAGGAAAGATGCTGCCAAGGCCAACAAACACCTTAAGATCACAGACACCCAAGCTAGAAGCTAAGCATGCTGTCTAGTTCCACCGGCTCCTGGATTCTACATAAGCAAAACACCCTATGCAATACACTTGCCCCCTGGGTCCTGAGTACTTGGTGTCTAGCTTCCGTTCTTGTGTGGCTTAAGGGGGGAAATGGAAGTGGGCCTTTACTTTCTCTCCCCACCTCACCATGTGGTGGCATTGGAACTTCTACTTGGGGAAGTCAAAGAGGTAGTTAAGTCTTCACTAACTGCCTGCCAGCCATGTGCTTATTAGGGAATGTTACAGTATGTACAAAAATAAATGTGAACAGTTCTTTCATTTGTTTTGTTTTTGTTTTGTTTTGTTTTGTTTTAAACAGATCCACAAATTGAATATAGCTGCTTTATGACTGAGTATTTGTAAAAACTGGCCTGCATCCAACCCCCAAGGAATCATCCAATTCTAGTCAGGTATGTTTTACAATAATGCACCCACATGGTTAGAAGGCTGGACTTTTTTTTTTGCTTCCAAACCTTTCAGGGGGGAGTGGGGAGAGGGCAAACCTCATCATTTCTCTGACTAGTTCAGAAAGTTTTTCACCTTTCTCTCATTGTCTTCCCCTTAGATTTATTTCTTAAAGAAGTGCTTCTTCATGTCCTCACATAAACAATGTCAAAGGGATTTAACAATGGCTGTTTAACCTTGGTCACTCATTTTAATTGCTATGCAGTACCTTGAGACCTATTAGCAATCTCTTACCTTTCAAGCCATCTGCTAGTTGACAGTTTGTGAGCTGTGTATGGTGCTGAAGGGATGTGTTCTATGTTGCTAGGTCATTTTGACATGATGTTTTATTGCCTCCGCATACTATTGCATACACAGCAAGTATCCTCTGTTACCAAAAGAGGTAAAGTAATCTTAAGAGATATCTAAATTTATGGGATAGGTTCTAACACGGAACTGCTGAACAAAGCACCCAGAGTTCCTGATACTTGTATCCTCAAAAGCAATATGTGGAAGCACAAAAGTTAAAATATTTAAAAGTCTGTTTCCATTAGGTGGGAGTGTTTGTTTCCAAAGCTAATTTCACAGCTACCGTTTTATGACAGAAGTTAGGTTCCAAAGTAGGATTTAAAGGTTTCTGAAGGTTTTTATGAATAATACCCCACTGTTAGCTTCAACTACAGTAGACCCATTAACTCAGTGTGATTTGTATACATACTGGCATGTTTGTTGTTACAAGCAGCCTCCAACTCATGGCAACCCTGTGAATGAGTGATTTCCAAAATGTACTGTCCTCAATGTTGTTGTTGTTGTTTAGTGGTTAAGTCATGTCTGACTCTTGTCTTCCACTGCCTCCCGAAGTTGTGTCAAATTCATGTTGGTCGCTTCAATTACACTATCCAGCCATCTCATCCTCTGTCGTCCCCTTCTCCTTGTGCCTTCACACTTTCCCAACATCAGGGTCTTTTCCAGGGAGTCTTCTCTTCTCATGAGATGGCCAAAGTGTCCTCAATAGCCCTGCTCAATTCTTCTAAACCAAGGCTTTGGTTCCTTTAAAGAGTCAATCCATCTCATATTTGGTCTTCCTCTTTTTCTGCTTCCTTCAGCTTTTCTCAGCATCATTATTTTTTCCAATGAATCTTACCTTCTCATGATATGCCCAGAATATGACAGCTTCAGTTTCATCATTTTAGCCTCCAGAAATAGTTCAGGCTTCATTTTCTCTAGGACCCACTTGATTGTCTTTCTGGCAATCCAGGGTATTCACAAAGATCTCCAGAGGGCAGCACTGATAAACCTCTGCTGAGTATTTTATACCGCTGAGCATTTTATCAATTGAGTCTACTTTCTAGCAGAAAATACCAATAAGATACTGGCCTAAAACTATTCATTGAGTAAAATTAAACTGTTCTATGATATACTAAGATAACTGTGTTCCATCAAGTTGACTCAAAGTACTTAGCAGTAGTCTACCAATGCCTTCATCTGGAGGCACTAGGACTGCAGCTTTCCTTAAGCCACACATGTTGGATGTTTTCCCAGGAGGCACAGTGGGGAATTAACCCCCTGTGGCTGTGGTTCTGAACCCAGCTACCCAACTCACTGCACTATCCAGTCACTTAATATGCCAATGTATCAATAGACAATTGTATCAACAGCCACTTCCATCTCCATCTGCCTTTACATTGCAAACCTGCACTAAGAAGAGGACTCTGAAGGTGGACAACTGGAGAAGCTCTTGTTTGGTGCTAATAACGTTGAAGACCCTGATTCTCTCACTACACAAGTCATAAGGTTTATTTCTTTAAGTGTTATAGTTAATTCATTCTGAAATCCAACTTCCCAAGAGTTTTCTCTGTGACAGTCACTTTCTAAGATTCTGTATGGAATGTGCATTATTGCCCACTAGGTTCTTGGAGGTCATAAGGAGACTTTCAATTGTTTAGAATCCATGAGTACATGCAAATCTAGCATTTGGGTCCAACACTCCAAGCTGCTTCATTACAGCAAATCAACAGGAAAGATAAGCTTCTGGATCCACTTCCAATTTAGTGTAAGAGGACTCGTATGTAAAATGGCTATGTTTTGACTATAACCTAGTTGAAAATATGCATACAGTTCTAGCTAGCTAAGTAGCCCAAAGATCAGCTGAGCTGATGCTAAGTCAGCTGAGCTTTGTTGAATCCAAATCTTTCTTAGCATAAGAAAATTGAAAATTACTTGATTCTCCCCTGACCTTGACTTCCCACTATACAGGGCTGGAGGAGGTTTGGATCTGGCACAATGTGGATCCTCTCATATCTTTGCTGGTGCTGCTGGCAGATCTTAGGCAACAAAGCAGTTTCTGCAAAAGAATGTTCTGTTGGCAGATATCTGAGCTAGCTAGCTGAAGATGGTTGTGCTGGAGTCATTTCTGCCTAGAAGAACCTTCCTCTTGGCAGAACTGGCTTCTTCCTGCACCCACCCCTCATAGATGGCACATTTTCTAATCAGGAGTATTTTGTAATTTGTCAAAAGACTGATAGAACTTGTTCATAACAGATTTTGTAATATCAAGTGGTATGCCCTGGGGTTTATAGTAGCTGTGATGCATCACACTTCTGGAAGGCACTGGGTTAAATGCTGCTGTGGAAACTCAGCCAACTAGCTTGTGCCTCATCCTCTTCTTTCCCCCCAGTTCTGTGATCTTTCAACACCCTTGTTGCGTTCTTTTTGTAAGTTTGTTCTGTCACCATGAAAAAGAACCAAAATTTTCTTTTAAAAAAGTAGTATTGCTGCTGTTCATATTTTATCATTCCTGTTTTGCTGGCAAGCCATTCATGTATATACATAACGATTCAGCTCACGATGTACCTGTTCTGTTCAGAGAGAACACATTCAGAACAAAACAAAACAATATAAGGCTCTCTCTTTTACTCTTCCTTATTTAATAATCTCATTTCGAAAACAGCAACATGAGTTCAGTTGACTAATTATAATGCATGTGCACTCCTATGTCCCTGGTTATGAAAGCTATGCCGCTATCATGAAGAAGGAAAGAAAGATAATAATGATGTACTCATAACATCAAACTATCTATGACAATAACATTTGAACAAGAAATTATTCTGGTCACATGGAAAGAGAAACAGATAACACATGGATAGGGGTAGCAGAGACATCACCTTGCCAACAAAAGTCCGAATAGTCAAAGCTATGGTTTTTCCTGTCGTGATGTATGGAAGTGAGAGCTGGACCATAAAGGAAGCAGACCGCCGAAGAATTGATGCCTTTGAATTGTGGTGCTGGAGGAGACTCTTGAGAATCCCCTGGACTGCAAGGAGAACAAACCTATCAATTCTAAAGGAAATCAACCCTGAGTGCTCCCTGGAAGGACAGTTCCTGAAGCTGAGGCTCCAGTACTTTGGCCATCTAATGAGAAGAAAAGACTCCCTGGAAAAGACCCTGCTGTTGGGAAAGTATGATGGCAAGAGGAGAAGGGGACGACCGAGGATGAGATGGATGGACAGTGTCTGCGAAGCAACCAACATGAATTTGACACAACTCCGTGAGGCAGTAGAAGATAGGAGGGCCTGGCGTGCTCTGGTCCATGGGGTCACGAAGAGTCGGACACGACTAAACGACTAAACGACGACGAAGGGATGAGGGCCATAGAAGCTTCCCATGGCTCACTCCTCACAACCCATCAACAATCAGCTTCCTCTCAGATGAGATTATAATGCTGAGATAATAAATGCATGGGCCAGGGAAACAGATCCAGCCAAGGGGGACAGTTCTGCTCCCTCTGTTGTGCATGCCCCCTTTCCTTTGAAAAACCAGACCTCTCACCCTTTCTCTTTCTGTCTGTCATGTTCAATTTGGCCTTAAATACTCGGTCTTTCAACCAGTCTTTTTTGTAGCACTGCTGGCGGTTATGTCTGAATTAGCATGTGAAGGGCTGTGTTTTTTTGCAGATAATCTCTGCTATTTGCTAATTTTTAAGGTTCTTCATCCCCTGAAGAGGTTCCACAGGTGATCACTTTTTTTGACAAGTGAGACAGAAACAGAAAATAAGTGTCCAGGTAAGAAACCTTGTGCTCTTCCTCTGAGGCATCAAGTTCTAAATAATGCTGAAAAGTTCTTCAGGGGAAAAACACATGAGACTTATGCACTGAATTGCTATCAGATTTTCAATTTAGAACGTCTGGTATCTGATCTGCAACATTTTGAATCCCTTGTATTCAACCACATCAGTCCTGAAGTATGGCTCCTTCTCCTTTCCTCTCCTTTCCTCTCTCTTCTCCTGTCCTCCCCTCTCCTTGAGCAGCTCTTCATCTCTTGTGTCTGCATGGTAAGTAGACACAGCCATGAGTACCTACTGAATTTGATAGGGAGGATGATCTTATTTCAGTCTAGTTTTTATGAATGCCCTAAAATTTGCAAATTTCTTTATATTCAGGATGAAATGAACTTGAGGTTTTGTTTTCTAAAAATCCATGGGGGAGTAGTCAGATTTCTCTACATAAGAAAATATTTTTGTGTACAGTATGTGTTTTTTTGCTTTTTGGGGTTTTATTTTAAAGCTACACTCCCCTTGCAGTTTGGAATATTATGCTCACCCTTGTGATTCCATCAGCTGCTCACCCTTTCGCCCCCATGTGTAAGGAAGATGTAGTTCTGGCAAGAAATACAATTTATAGAATGGTGCTGTTCATGTCACATTGGCTGCCAGAGTAATCTCTGATGTTTTTTTAGCAACAGATAGCATTTAATAGCTGCAAGATAGCAGCAAAGTAACTGAGGCTGTGTTCCAGGTGCTTGTGGGATGATTTAATGCATGTGACCTGCACTTGTGTTTTTCTCGATTTTAGATCGATGTGACCTCCTAAGTGAGATTAAAACTGTAGTCAGTATTTATTCTAAATAAGGACTCCTTTCAATTACTTTCACGTTCTTGCAAAGGTGAGATAACCCATTACTGAAAAACACTTACACTACTCTCAAAGTAATTTCATTCTGCAATTTCCTTGTATCATAATCTGATTTTTGTTTTTCCCCTTTCTGGCCCTGAAATGCTTAGCAATATCCGAAGAAAGGTTCTGCTGATGAGAAGAGTTGACATTCTTAGCAGATATTATTTCCTACTGGAAGACCTTGACCACGCACAGATGTTTATTGATTCCCAAATGCATTAAGGGAAAGGGGGTCAACAGGTGTACACAGTCATAACACAGAGTCTTTCCTGTGTTGAATTGTGAGCTTTTAAACCTATCATGTCATGGGTGCCCCATGTTAGATGCAAAGCACCACACAGACATAGAGAGAAGAGAAACACAGCAGGCTAAAGGGAAGCAATGCTTAAGCAACATAATGGGCTTCTGCAACAAAACAAATCATGAAAGCCACTGCATTAGATGGCATTCAGAATTGTGCTTCTGACTTATAGTGACCCTTCCAAGGGCTTTCTAGGGAGAGAATACACAGAAGTGGTTTACCATTCTTGTCTTCTGGGGGTGTCCTGGGACTGTGCAGCTCGCCTATGATTATGTTCTCAGGAGGAACAGTGGGGAATCAAACTCCCAACCTTTATCTAAGCTACTGAGCTATCCATCCAGTATTCAAAAGGAGCTGGAACCTGGAATTGGACAAGTTCATGGGTAATACATCTGTCAACAACTATTGGATGTGATAACTGCATGGGATGTCAATGTTCAGCAGCAGATCATTTGTGCATCAAATACTCCATGTCCAATATTCTACCCATTACACCATAATAGCTACTGGGAAAAGATGTTTTCAGTTCTTTCCAATTGAAAGGTCTGCCTCAGCAGGACACTAGATGCGGAGTCAGAAACTGGTGGCCCTGCAGGTGTTGCTAGATTACACCATTACATTATTTTTATTCTGTATATTGCCTTTGGTGTATTTTTATGGACAGGAAAGGTATACAGCCTTCTCTGCTCCCACTGCTGCCTTTTCTCCAGGCTTTTTTACCCCCTTCCTTTTCTTCCATTATGTTCTTGAATAAAGGACTTCTCTATATATTTTTGTACAAACAGCCAGTAATCCTGTAGCTGAATAGGAATGAGACTGTTTCATGATTCTGTGTTCAGATGTGGTTGGAAAGCCCATAACTACAATTTTACCATAGGGCAGACCTCCAGACTGTTTCACATAGCTGTATATTCATTGCTTGCTGGTTATAACATCGAAGACTTCTATACAGGAATGTCCCATCATGGAGAACATTCATATCACCTTAAAGACTATCTTTTTCTATGATATTTACTACCAGGCCTTTTTGAACTGGTTCATATTTGCTGCTTGACGTCTACACAAGTCACACATGCTCTGTTTGGACAGGTGTGGTGGGGAAATGGACTGAATCAGGTTAAATGTTCAATTTTAGGGTGTTGCTATAGGTGGAATGAAAAACTGTTGTTTATCTCCAATGAGGAATAAGCCCACTTCTTCTCTCTGGCATTCATAGGGTTAAAAAGATGGCCTATGGTTTGGATTACTGAAAGAGGAGGTTGAAACTTGTACACTGCATACCATGAGTTCTGGCACCAAAAGCGACTTTACACACCACATCTTTCATATTTCATTAAATGATGGTATATTTGCATGTGTATATGGCACCTGGCCTGAGTGCATAGATATAACACTGCAGGTAGAAAGCTACTTTCATGCCAACTCAGATATAATGGCTTTCAGAAGAACCATTCCATACATTCCACTACTCATCTTTCATTGTAATGTAAATAGGGGATACAGGATGGAGGTGGGGTTGCCAGCATGACTTTACCAGTGGTAATGAGTTTTGATAACTGAAGACTTCCCCTTGCTGTCTCCCTATCCACCCGCAGCTTCCAAATGATGAACTGGATCACATAGGAGCTTTGGAAGAGTATTCAGAAATTACTGAAAACTTGCCGCTGCTGATGACCTCATCAACCTACTGCAGCATAAATTGTAGTAACAGGATTTCAGTCATCAAATGTTATATTTATTACGCTAAAATTTTCATCTTAAAAACTCAAACTGACCAATCAATCTACTACTTAAGTAACAATTATTAAAAAAACATCAATTTGTGTTCATTAAAGATAATTTCATCACTTCCCCTAAACCTGCTGAGAGTTAAAGATTAATTGAACTTGATTAAATACTAAATTTAATTCATTATCTATTGCCTGATGCTGCTTGCTTTGTTTGTCTTTATGCTGATTTACTGACTAGATTTTATTTTATCACATTATGTTTCTTATTGTCACTGTTGTATTATACTATTTGCTTATGGTTTTGACTGTTAACCACCCAGAATAATGCTTAGCATAATATCATCCTAAACTTATATACCACATTTAATAGACAGTATATAAATTTAAGATATTATTAAATACCAGGCACAGTTAATCAAAATTACAAAAACATTAATTGGTGTTACGTAACAGATATAATTTTTAACCCAAAAACCTAAGTATCTTTTGAATACTGTTCCTAATATCGCTGGTTTTTTGTAGCTCTGATGTTGTTATTTCTGAGAGCTGCAACTGCTTATAATACCATGTGAAATTTCTTGATATTGTTTCCAAAGCCCAGATGACTACGGGGACCACAGATATGTTCCATCCACAAGTGAGATGTTTCGATTGCCAAGTCTCTGTATTTCATTAGTTTTTCCAGTTCTTTTTTTTCAACTCTGGCATCCCCTGGAACTGCAATGTCAATGATCCAGACATTTCTTCATTCTATTACTACTATGTCTGGTGTGTTTTGTTCAAGGTATCTATCACTTTTTATCCAGAAATACCACCAGATCTTGACTTCCTCATTTTCTGACACCTTCTCTCCCTGATGTTCCCATGGGTTGAGTTTCTTTTGGAGGCTGATGAGTTAAATTTTTTGCATTATGACTAGAGCACTAATTTTGCCACTCTATTATGTCAAATTTTGTGATCTGTTTGTGCAATATTTGGACATTCACAGATGAGATATGATACCATTTCATCTTTTTCTTGGCAGAGTCAAAATTTGCTGTTAGCACTAATTCCATGAATCTTACCTTTCGTCATACTGGATCATATTGGTTTGCAATGCTTATTCTTGTGTAGCAAAAATCAAACCTTTGGTTTCTATCATCATCATCATTTAAATCAACTTTTAAAACACAGAGATTGCGGAATGAAATTTCTGTATTTGGAGGGGGTGAGCAATATTTGTTGTCCGGCTCAGGCAGCAAAATGCCTTGATCTGAGCCGATTCATACCTTGCTCTGTTTCTATCTTTTTGAGCAGTGGTCCTGGTGTTCAGACCAGTTATCCATCTGATTTGTTATATGCCTAAGAACCTGAAAATCATTCCCCTTTCTTATACTGGATAAGCCTCCACTTAACTTGACCCAAGAAAAGCTTCATCTTCTCAGCGATCTGTTTGCAGCTCTCTTATGTATGCTATTGCATCGTTCCTTCCTTGAATGTGCTATGCAGAACAATGCTTCTACTATTTGCTCGTGCTTCTTTGCGGATATTACTGTATTAAAGTCTCAGCCACAAAGGTAGTCATTTTCCCCAGAACACTTTGCGAAGGCTTCATAAGGACTACCATGCTCTTGAATACAGATTGGCAAATTACCAGTCTAAGAAGCAGATATAAAGTGATCCTGGGTAACAGGAGGGAAATAGGACATCTGTTCCTAATCTCTGTTTTACTTAGGTGAGTTGTGTATACAGAAAAATGCACACACACTAAATGGTTGGTGACAGATTGAATATATACCTACACAGTATAAACATACACACACACACACACAGAGAGAGAGAGAGAGAGAGAGAGAGAGAGAGAGTTTTCATTTTGTGGAAAGAGATAAAGAGATGGAAATCTAAAAGTTAGATTAATATATTACGACAACTTTCTTGGAAGGATAGCAGTCAACACATGACAATAGTACCGAGAGTGTGGAATAGAAAGTCAACCTCTCCATGCATATTTTAAAGGGAAGACATGGGAAAACTGTGACACCCCAGATATGATTGGAGTCTAACTCTTATTAGCACTGGCCAGGAGAGCAATGGCTGAGGAGCAGATATATAAATCCATGTTTTTTTCATCTAGCAGACAAGGATTCTTCTATTCACTCTGTGAGAGGGAAAATGTGTTTTATAGAACTCTCAGCTAGAGAAGAGAACCAGATCTATTACTTACTTTGCATAAATTAAGTGAAACTGCTCAGATAATGCTTTAATACAAATAATGCCAACTGTACAAAATGCTGATGACTGATGCTTTGTTACACAGATGATTCAGTGTTTGGCATCAGTAATGGAATGAATGAGGGTGAATAAATTGAAACTTAAACCAGACAAGACAGAGGTGGTCCTGGTCAGCCAAAAGGCAGATCAAGGAATAGAAATGCAGCCTGTACCGGATGGGATTACACTCCCACTTTAAAAACAGGTGCACAGCTTGGAGGTCCTCCTGGATTCATTCCTGAGCCTGGATGTCCCAGTGTTGGGGGTGGCCAAGAGTGCATTTGTACAACTAATACTAGTGTGTCAGCTACATCCATTTCCTGATCTAGCCACTGTGATACAGGCCCTAGTTACTGCCCAGCTAGATTACTGTAATGCACTCTATGTGGGGCTGCCAATGGAAAGTCTCAGGAAACTTCAGCGGTTCCAAAATGCAGCAGCCAGATTGCTCTCTGGGGCTGGTTACAAGGATCACATAACCCCATGTTACAGCAGCTCCACTGGCTGCTGATCAGTTACTGGGCACAAATTAAAGTGCTGGTTTTAACCTATAAAGCCCTAAATGGCCTGGGTCCAAGATATCCCAAAGACCGTTTCTCTCACTATGAGCTGGCTCTGGTGTTAAGATCATCAGGAGAAGCCTTTCTCTTGGTCTCACCAGCTTCATAGGTGAATCTCATGGGGACATAAGACAGAGCCTTCTCTGTTGCTGTACCCAGACTTTGGAGCTCCCTCCCACAGGAGGCCAGACTGGCCCCATCTTTGCTATCTTTCCTTAACCAGGCAAAGACCTTTCTCTTCAGACAAGCCTCTCCACAGTAAGCAGCTACTAGTGTGTGATTTTTAGATAGATTACTATGCATTAGTGCTTTATTTGGATTTTTAGTACTACCAACCAACCAACCAACCAACCAAGAAAGTGTCTGCATATTTTTAACAATTAGCTAGTTCTGTTTGGTGTCTATGCACATGGTTTTCTTCTTAAAGAGAAATGACTTCAATTTTGACAGAGAAAGTTTGCACAAATGATAGATACCATGACCAGAAAAAATAGCATTCCTTGTCTCCCTCACTCTTGTTTGGAATGGAGGCCTCTCATAGCACTTGAAAATTTCTCAGTGAGATACATCATCAAGTCTATGAGAACAAAGATTTTTTTCATTTATCCTTTGCATCCTTAGTCAAGCATTATAGGAAATGTAGTGCTACAACATCTAAAGGACTGTAGACTTCCTCCATCCCAAACACAGGAGATCTGAACTTGCTATTTAGCAATAATATTTTCAGTGGCATCATCCATATATTACATGCCTTGGGAAACCAAAATATTTTCCCAAAAAATCAGGGGGGAGGGTAGTTTCTCCCTGAGGTTCTCCCCCAAACAGCAACAACATCAACGGCAGAACATGGTTTGCGGTCATGAAATACCGTCAGACTTTTGCACAGAGAAAGTTTAAAAAAACATGAGGGAGGTGGATGGAATTGTGTTTCTTTGAAAAGGGTATTCTGCACTGCTATATTCTGTTACAGATTCTACTTTTTCTTATGACTGCTATCCTAGGCTATTGAAAATATTCAGCTGTATGGAACTGGATGTTACCGTTTACATTTTCTGGAACACAATAAGAGACCAAATTATTTTTGTACACCTTGCTTCATCTGTAAAGTAATATTCTTGGAGCTTAAGTAATTACTCAGCAGTGACAGGAACTGATCCACCCCTTTGTTTCTTTCTTCAGCATTGTAGCTCTGTGACAGAAGGGTCACTAAATAAATGTCCTATTATTTACATCACCATGGATACTAATTTATTGTACATAGTGCCAGTCTTCAACCTACCATGGGAATAGATGCCATTAAGTTGCTTACACATTTTGAATCTTTTTGTCAAGCTATTTAGGCTGAAGGCAGACATTACTGATAGCCTGTGATAAGCACTGTGAAACCCTTAACTAATGAAAGTAGCTGACTGTCTCAGCAGGAGTTTTGGTCACCTTTGGTTGGGTAGGGAGGGGGATACGGATTAGCTTGATTTGTTTCCTTGTTGGTCCTTAGGATGCAAGCACAGGATCAGAAATTATGTTCATTTTAAAAAGGAGAGAAATTTCTTTCTATCACAGACAGAAATAGATCAGAAAAAAGGCTGTGTGCTCTCCAAAACAATACAAATGCAGAAATAAGTCATACCTTTATTAGATCACTAAAACAAAAAAGGTCAATCAAATAAACAGACAGCTAGCTTTCGATAATAATTTATCTTCTTCGGGTTGTACATCAAGTTCTTGTGGGTAGTTAAAAAAAATTATATGCTTTCACTAAAGTCCCAAAGTCTCATGGCTGTTGTTGGGACCAGATTTTGCTTCTTAGATGGAAATAGATACAGCCTGCCAAAGGCTTGCGGGGGGAGGTTGTGGTTTCAAACTCCTCCTCAGCTAGTAATTTGGAATCCTGGAAAAGGTTGCCCTAAGTCAGAATTAACTTTGTGGCACACAATAATTATATAAATGTTAAAGATGAGAAGCCTTTCAATATTAAAAGGAAAGGAAAGAAATTACGATTCTATTTCAGGAGTAAGAAGGTAGAATACTTGGGGATTCAAACACAGACTTCAAAGAATTAAGAGTTTTCCGATACATATCCTATGCATACAATCTAATTGGTTCTGTGGCATTCTGGTTACAGCATCCCATTTACTGCTTGATTCTTGATTGTCTGGGATATGACTCATGGGACGAAGACAATGCAATATTAGGAAGAGAAATGGTGCTGACACTGTGATAAATAAGGAAAACAATGACATCAGGAATCATCAGGAAAACATAAATGTTCTCACAGTGCAGGTTGTGAAACAAACTGTCAATTGTCCATTATTTCAACATGCTATTTTTAATCCCCAAATTAACCA